CTCTTTCTCTCTTCCCACCTGTGTGAGTGTGTGTGTGTGTGTGTGTGTGTGTGTCTATGCCATCTTTTTTCTGCCTCCCCTTTTATCTCCCTCTCTCTCTTTCTCTATCCTTCTCTCTCCCTTTCTCTCTCCTTCTCGCTCCCTCCCCCTTCCATGTCTCTATTCTCTATTGATCCCTTTACAAATAGGGGCAACAACAAGCTAGAGGTCTAGCGTATTGGCCCCCTGAAGGGGGACTTGGCAATTTTGATGGGTGATAGGGATCAGCGGGCACTGACAAGTGTTATTGTAAGCCCTGCTTGGAAGCGTATGTAAGTGGGCGAAATGAATGCAAAAATGGGCACTGGCTATAAAAAGGTTGATAAGCACTGGTCTTGATAAGCACTGGTCTAATATTGGACACCCCCAAAAATCCCTATAAGGAAAACCTGTATATTATGTATCTCCACAGACTTGTGAAAAGGATGACGACCACACAAACACCTACCTATTGGACAGCTGCTCCCACTACACAAAGGCACCACTGTCTCACACAAGTCCCCTGTGCGACCCTCCGGACACTGACAGCTGTAGTCCCCAAAGGCGTCTCGCAGACAGACCTTGTTGGCGGTACAGGTGGTATCCCCACATACCTGTTCCTTACAGTTGCCTGGAGGTGGAATTAGGTCACAGTGTAAAGGGTTACTGGGTATACATTTTCTCTTGAAACAGATAGAAACAATATAGGCCTACATTTTTCAGAAATGGCAGCTTTCTTAAATACTTTTGTCCAAAGAAAGCTTGAAACAACTATTAGATTATCACAAGAAAAATGAAGCCGTCTTTCTTTGAAGTTTTTTTCTGTCCCCACCACGTACAGATAAAATGAAAACCCCAAAAAGGCATAACTGGGGGAAAAATACCCATACTGTTTTGATCTTGTAATTTACAAGATGGTCACCATTCAATTTCATATGAAATATGAATTTTATCTCAAAAACTTACAGAAGCAGAGGACAAAAAAAGTTTCACTTTTCTTTTTTCTACACAAAAAAACTAACCTAAATGTTATTTGAAGTTTGATGGTATTTGAAATAATATGTATATCATTTTCTGTGTGTGCCACAATCTATAAACACAAGGTCGTATGATGTAAAGAATGGCACTAATATATCTGTTATTGTACAGAAAGAGTTAACAGCAAAAAAGAAAGGCAATGAAGGATAAGACAGAATATCACAAAGTTGGACTCACCCTCCAAACAAACACACTGCTCTGTGTAGCGATGACGCGCAGACACAAAGCTGGCTCCATTGACTAGGATAGGGACGAGGGTACTCTCATCAAAATGCACCTTCCCAACGCAGGTCCCAATGTCACACGATGCCTTGCTGCACGTGTCGGTGAAGATATCTAACACCTGAACACCCAGCACGCTCTCTATCCTTCCTCTGATCCTCTCCACTTTCCTCTTCAATGGCCTCTTGTGATAAAAGCGATCTGCTGACTTCCTCACGGCGAACAGAACATCAAGGTTATCATCAGCGTCTCTCTTTTTCCTCCGGTTCGAACCCCCTCTTCGTTTGTTTCTCGGCTTCTCCGCACTCTCTGAGGATGGCTGGACGTTGATAATTTCCACATCGGCAGTCCTCACATCCAGGCCCTGTTTGATTACCCTCTGGAAATCTTCCTTGAAGTTTGCGTAGAACTGCTCCTCGATCATGTGCTCAAACTGGATGGTGATGGCGTTGTCCAGCATCTCTTTGGATGTACAGATGACCTCAATGTCCACTTTCCCGTAACTGGTGAACTTCCCATCTGACACACTCACGTTGACCATGTAACTCCCGGCGTCCAGGCCGGTCAGTGCAATGAGGCGGCCGTCGTATCGGTGTACGTCAAACAGGTGACTGTTGGCCGATACGATGCTGAAGATACTTTTGTCATAAGGGTCCCTGTCTTGTGCCTCTACACGGCCAATCACACCGCCCGGGAAGCTGTCCATGCACGACCTGAAAAAAGGCAGATAACTCAGGTGTAAAAGATTTAGATCACAGAGCACAGAAATGCAGGGTGAAACACTAAAGGCACAATATCAACCCATCACAATCTAGTTTGGTCACTCATACACTCACTACCTCCCTTCAGTTTTACTAAGTTTTACAGCAGTTGCAACACAATAAGGTCATGTAAGCGCCGAACATAAGAGGTATTTCAAGAGAGTAAGACACACAAATAAGGAGAAATAAGAAAGATAGGAAAGAAGGAGCAAACCACACCAGATCACCCACAAATCACCCACCACTACCTCCCTCACAACCAACACATCACAATATGGTAAGTCTACGGACAAGTACACGCACATTCATAATAAATAATGAAAAATAAGAGCCAACAGTTTCTTCGTAAAAATAAGAGCAAAAATTGCATTGAATTAATTTTTCCTCTTTGAGAGGTAACAGAGAAGAAGGCTTATAAGTTCATAGTTATCTGTCCTAATATTTTTCTCAGCTTAGTTATTGTAAAAGTACAGTCAACCAAGACATGTACCAAAAACCATCAATAATAATATATTTATAGAGGCACAAACTATTGGAGTCTAGATGCTGTTTTGGTTCTGCTGAAAAAAAAATAAAAAAAAAAAAAATAAATACCTAATGGTGATGGCCAGGTCTCGAACCTCCGGGGCGTACACACTGTCATCTACCACCTCAACTGTTACAGCCACATCAGAGTGTAGTGGAGGTTTACCGTTGTCGTAGGCTCTAACAGACAGATGGTAGCTGAAGAAGATGAAATAATGAGAACACACAGTTAAAACCTGAACATTTCATCATGATAGATCTAACCATGACATATATTTCACATGTTTTCCCCTTCTTTTCCTTTTCCAACATAGTGTTGAAATATGGGCTTCATTTATTACCATAAATATGTCTATGACGTCAGAAGTTTAGCCCTGATGCCTAAAATATCAGTCTTGAGCATGATCTGTTTTTTTGCAACTTTTTTTGAAAGCCAAATAATTTGTTGAAGAGGATATTTTTGACATTTAATGCGACTGATTGGGCAAGACGTTTACCAAATTTTAACTGTACTTTTTTGTCCAAGACACAGTTTGCAGTAATTTTTTTATTTGACATGGTTTCATTTAATGCACATACATTTACACACACATCCGAACTTACACACACACACACAAACACACACACACATCCACACTTACATGTAAACACACACTTATGCACACACACACACACACACACACACACACACACACACACACACACACACATACACACACAGACACACTTACACCCCCCCCCCCACACACAAACTTACACATCCTGCACTTTCTTGGAGAGTTTGCCAGCCGTGCTGATGACGCCACCACTGTCGATGTGAAACTCTCCGTTGTCGTTGCCGCCGACAATCTCAAAGACAAAGGGCGGCCCGTTCTCGGGCAGGTCATCGTCCACAGCGCTCAGAGTGACCACCTCGATACCCGTGCGCCGGCCCTCCTTGGAGGGAGAGAATGAGAACAAAGGAAGGTCAGAAACATGTGAGGAAAATACGTAAACGGACTCTACTCTCTGCTACATTGTATGGTTGACATGGGAGAAGGAATGTCAAAAATATTTGAAAGAGAAAAAAAAAACACACAACGTAAACGGACTCCATTCTCCGATACACTGCACGATTGACATGGAAAAAGGAAATTCAGAAATATTCGAAGCTCACTGTTCGATTGACAAGAAAAACAGGAATGTCAGAAATATTTGGGGCAAATAAATAAATAAGCATAACCGGGATAAACAGACTCCTTTCACCGTCACACTATAGTACTGACACCGAAATGGATGTTAGAAACATTGGCTCCATAGAAAAATGAAATGAAACAAATGGACTCCATTCACCGTTACGCTGTAAGGTTGATACGAAATTAAGGTCAGAAACACTTGGTAACTTAGGGGGAAAATGGACTCCATTCATCGATTCAGTTATTGTTTGAGAAAAGGAAAGTACACCAATGCGACAAGTGCAACAGTCACGTGTCTCTTATTTGATCCAGATACTCATTGCATTTCATGATCATGTCTGACTTTGTCACTTCTTTGTTGGCAAGTGGTACAAAAAAAGAAGACTTGGATATTACAGTTAAATAAGACTTTAGTATTTACAACATTGTTTCACTACTAGGGTTTCACCATGAACATAAAGAAATTAAAAGCCGACTTTTTCCCTTCTTCGCTGAAAAAAAAAAAAATTAGTATACACCGAAATATAATGTACAAGATGCCATGCTGACTGGTTTAGAGGGAAAAGCAAGCGGAAGAGTTCATACGGAGACAATCCTCCCCCCCCCCCCCCGAAATATGGGACGCTTGGTTTTTGGTCTCTATCCATAGGGAGGGGTGGGGGTAGTTTTAGTTTTACGGCACTTTGCAAAACAAATTAGTTATATAGGTTCCGACGATTAGAGGTGTTACGGGAGAGTAAGACACAAAGAAAAGAAGGAGAGATAAAGACGATGGCAGAATATGTTTGGCAAGAAAGAAAGAGCAAACCACACCAGAGAACCCACCAATCACAAGCGAGGGAAGGGGAAAAGGGGTGGGGTGGGGAAAGAAAAGGATACGCATCTTAGAAATTGAGTTAGGACGGGAGAGACACACATTTTCTGAGAGTAAAAAAGAGCCGCGGAGACAAACAAGACCCAAGACATGATGCATTCACATTTATCACACTGTACACGACCTTTGTTCTATTTTTTTTTTAAAGTTTAGTTTTAGTAGAGGTTTTACGGCGCTCGCAACTGAATAAGGTCATATGAGCGCCAGAAGATTAGAGGTGTTACCAGCTAGTAACAAACATAAAAAAGAAGAAGGGGAGATAAGTACGATAGATGTTTAGTAGGAAAGAAGAAGCAAACCACACCAGAGCACCCACTAATTAAATAAATAAATACAAAATAACCTCAACAGACAGCAAAGAACAACAACAAAAAAACAGACGCGCAAGCAGATGTCGCACTGTTTCAAAACCATACCATATGTATTAACATTTTGCTTCACTGAATCCTAATGATACATGTATTTAAAAAACCCATCCTGTCTCAGGCACAGGCCTACCGCTCTTTCTTGCCTTTCTTTGTTTCTTTCCCCTACTTTCATTATTCTTTTTTTTACATCATAAGACCAAAAAAAAAAGATCGACACAAAATATCGACGAAAGGTGTTTGATACGAAAGAAGGGGTAAACCACTAATGACGCTTGATCAGCAAATATTCATAAACCATGGCCCAAATACTCTTTTCGTGCCGCAAATTATGAACACATTTTAGCAACACGTGTAAAGAAATGTACAGGCTGTTCGGTTAGTGCGTTTGAGTAAATGGAAGCAGACCTACACAGAAACGGTAGATCTAATTTAATTTAGTGTAGAGAACGAGTCAAACAGACTAACAAACAGACAGTCAGAAAGAAAGGGGCAAACTTACACATCCTGCACTTTCTTGGAGAGTTTGCCAGCCGTGCTGATGACGCCACCACTGTCGATGTGAAACTCTCCGTTGTCGTTGCCGCCGACAATCTCAAAGACAAAGGGCGGCCCGTTCTCGGGCAGGTCATCGTCCACAGCGCTCAGAGTGACCACCTCGATACCCGTGCGCCGGCCCTCCTTGGAGGGAGAGAATGAGAACAAAGGAAGGTCAGAAACATGTGAGGAAAATACGTAAACGGACTCTACTCTCTGCTACATTGTATGGTTGACATGGGAGAAGGAATGTCAAAAATATTTGAAAGAGAAAAAAAAAAACACACAACGTAAACGGACTCCATTCTCCGATACACTGCACGATTGACATGGAAAAAGGAAATTCAGAAATATTCGAAGCTCACTGTTCGATTGACAAGAAAAACAGGAATGTCAGAAATATTTGGGGCAAATAAATAAATAAGCATAACCGGGATAAACAGACTCCTTTCACCGTCACACTATAGTACTGACACCGAAATGGATGTTAGAAACATTGGCTCCATAGAAAAATGAAATGAAACAAATGGACTCCATTCACCGTTACGCTGTAAGGTTGATACGAAATTAAGGTCAGAAACACTTGGTAACTTAGGGGGAAAATGGACTCCATTCATCGATTCAGTTATTGTTTGAGAAAAGGAAAGTACACCAATGCGACAAGTGCAACAGTCACGTGTCTCTTATTTGATCCAGATACTCATTGCATTTCATGATCATGTCTGACTTTGTCACTTCTTTGTTGGCAAGTGGTACAAAAAAAGAAGACTTGGATATTACAGTTAAATAAGACTTTAGTATTTACAACATTGTTTCACCACTAGGGTTTCACCATGAACATAAAGAAATTAAAAGCCGACTTTTTCCCTTCTTCGCTGAAAAAAAAAAAACATTAATATACACCGAAATATAATGTACAAGATGCCATGCTGACTGGTTTAGAGGGAAAAGCAAGCGGAAGAGTTCATACGGAGACAATCCTCCCCCCCCCCCCCCGAAATATGGGACGCTTGGTTTTTGGTCTCTATCCATAGGGAGGGGTGGGGGTAGTTTTAGTTTTACGGCACTTTGCAAAACAAATTAGTTATATAGGTTCCGACGATTAGAGGTGTTACGGGAGAGTAACACACAAAAAAAAGAAGGAGAGATAAAGACGATGGCAGAATATGTTTGGTAAGAAAGAAGGAGCAAACCACACCAGAGAACCCACCAATCACAAGCGAGGGAAGGGGAAAAGGGGTGGGGTGGGGAAAGAAAAGGATACGCATCTTAGAAATTGAGTTAGGACGGGAGAGACACACATTTTCTGAGAGTAAAAAAGAGCCGCGGAGACAAACAAGACCCAAGACATGATGCATTCACATTTATCACACTGTACACGACCTTTGTTCTATTTTTTTTTT